TATGATAAACTTAAGTATTAAATGATTTAATGCAATATCTTTTATCTTTCATATAAGACTGTGGGCTCTTTCAAGGGTAGGATTTCTTTTCTTATTCACTCACGGGAACCATATTGAGTGCTCTATCAGATGCCATACGTTTGTTATCTTGATGCCTCCAAACAGTTCTGAGCCAGACCTTCTAATTTCATAGACAAGAACACAGACACTAGAAAAGGAACATGTGCTCAAAGCCAAAGGGACAGGCTCGATTATTCTCACAAACATCTGCCCCACTTCCTTCTCACTGCGGCCAGGGGACCTGATGATGCTGTTTCTCATCTCAGCACTCCCGACATCTCAGGCAGGCTAATTCTTTGTGGCGGGAGGCTGTTCTGTGAATTGTAGGATGTTTAGCAGCATAACTGGCCTCTACCCACTAGATGCCACTAGTAACCCCTCCAAGTTTTGCCAAACAAAAATATTTCCAGACATCGCCAAATGTTCCAGAGGGGCCAAACCTACCTAGCTGACAACTGCTGAGCTAAGAGAATGTTAATAGATGGGACAAGAGCAGAAGCCTTACACGTGCTTAAGCAATTTGGCTCGTCTCCGGCACTCCAGTGACCTGCCATGAACTGCTGCCACTTGGAGCTGAGTCCAACAGGAACACCCACCAGCAACCAGCCTAGATCAAGGCCTAGATAACCTCGGCTCAGCCTCATCAGCAGAGCCTTAGCCAACATACAGTACACACTCAAGAGCACAGAAACCAATTTGTGTTATTTTAGGGCACTGTGTTTTAGGATAGCCTGTTATGGAGCATTATTGTGGCACCTGTTGACAAATAACACCAGTAAGGGGGTAAGTCAGGATTCTAAATCTAGGCCTGTCTAGCTCAAAAACCCACTATTATCTCCACTATGTTAAGCTTTCTCAATTGAATTAATATCCCCACCCCCAGGATGTGATTGGTACACACTAGAGTACGTTTTCAATGGGCTACTGATACCACCTTCTCATTCCCACATCAAGCCTCTGATTAAAAAACACTGTGAAGGACATTATACGTACTACTACCTCCTTTCTGAAACACTGAATCTAAAGCTTTCTTCTCCTGTCACCCCAGAGCTATACACAGCCAAGCCCACAACCAGAGCTCCAAATGAACACTGCCATAAACAAGGTGCTATGTGCAGATGCGTAAGTTTCTTTTAAAGATTTACCAATATTTCAAAGAATGAGGCTGTCACAAAGATATGCACAAAAAATATTTATTGTCCATCTGACATTACCAGGTAGGTAAATGGAGATATGAAAATATACAAAATCCCCACCGTCAAGGAGCTCACATTCTGGTAACACTTACACAGTATACAGGCATCTTCCAAATGCTTTTCATGCATAAACTCATCTCTAACTCTTCATAACCCCATGGAAGAGTAGCCCTATTACTATCTCCATTACAGAGGTAAGGAAAATGAGGACCTGAAATGGTAAGTAATTTGCCCAAAGTCAGAAAACAAATAGCAGAGCCAGCCAGAGATCTTGGTCTGAGTCCGAACTTTTGACAACTATGCAGCACTGCCCCTTTGAAACTTTAATAATAATAATACAAGCATTTTTAATCAAGTGGAATGAATTCACTCACAAAGTCAAGCTTATATACAAATGGGGGAGCATATGTGATGACCTCTAAGATTTAAGTGGCCAATATCTAATTCATAATTCTGAAATAAATCTTTTCCCACACTGCCAAAATCTGACAGACTCCCTTGTTTTATTTGATATTTATATTTTTTAGAGGTGAGATAAAGTTCCTAATATATACCACAAAACAGTACTACTCTTTTGGTGTGTATTAATAACCCCAAAGAAGAAAAGCTCAAAAACTACATGCAGATCCCAATTTTGCCAAACTCAATTTTTTTTTTTTAGAATAGTTTATTGATTTTTAGAGAGAGAGGAAGAGAGAAGTGAGAAACATTGATGTGAAAGTGTAACAGTGATAGGCTGCCTCCTGCACACCTCCTCCCGGGGATGGAGGCGCAACCGGTCCGTGCCCAGACTGGGAATACAACCAAGCAACCTTCCGGTGCACTGGATGATGCCCAACCAACTGAGCCACACTGGCCACGGCCAAACTTAAATTCTTTTAACAAATTTAAAATCAAGGTATTAAAAAAAGTTACCTGGAGAACCAAAATAGCTTTATATTAATAAACTTTTTCTCCTATGAATTATAACTAATTTTCTCATTTAAATTGCTTTGTTAAAATAGACATTTTGAGGTGCTAAGAGTTGTCTATAACTCATATACCCACCTATTTGACATGCTTATACCTGGATATCTGACTTCAAACTCAACATCTCTAAATCGGAACTGCTGAACCCCCACCTCCTTAACCTGTTCCTCTTCAGTCTTTCCTAGCTCAGGAATTGGCAATTCCTGTAACTCCAACTGGTCAAAACCTTTGAGCTACTCATGACTTTCCTTCACACCCCATTATTCAATCAACAAGTCCTATTGGCTTTAAGTTAACAATCTATGTAGGATCCAAGCATTTCTAAATTCTCTTGTTCAAGTTCCCTCCTGTTCCCTAGTTAGTCTCCTTGCTGCCACCATCACCCAAAGGCCTTTCTCCACACAGCAGCCAGAATGAATCTATTAAAAGCCAACCAAGTTCATTCACTCCTTGGCTCAAAACATCTGGATGTCTTCTCCTTTTACTCAGGATAGTAGCTGACATCCCTACTGGAGCCCTCAGCCCCTACATAATATGTATGGCCCCTCTGCGTACTCTGTAACCTCATATCTTACCACCCTTCCCAACATGCTATGGCCAATGAGTCACTGCACTTGCTCACTCTGTCTGGAATGTTCTCCCCCAAGGTGATGTTCATGCCCACTCCCCCATTTTTTACTATAAACACATCCTCACCATGGATCTGCTTACCCCACTTTATTTTTCTCCACAGCACTGACTGCACCTGAAGTAAATATTCATTTGCTTACTGTCTGTCTCTGTGAATGCAATGCCTGTTTCACAAAAGCAGAGACATTGTTTAGTTTGCCCTCTACCTGCCTCCTGGAAAAAGCCCGGCAAAAGGGCCACATGTCATCACCTGTCTGCTTGGCTTATCCACCTTCTGACGATATAAAGTGAGAGCAGTGCTGCTCACACTTGAATGCATCAGAGTCCTCTATGGGGCTGGAAGGCAGACTGCTGGGGTTCCCCCCACCAGGGTTTCTGATTCAACTAGATACCATAGTCCTAGAACCACATTTTAAGAACCACTCATCTAGACAATGTTATGAAACCCCCCCCTTTTTTTTTAAAGAAAAATGAGGACCAAGCAGATCAAGGTTATATGCTCTAACAAGGTCTTAAAAGAATTCTATGTTAATGACTAAACAAGCAGATGAGAAGGCTGACCCCTTTTAGGAGACAATAAAATGCCAACTAATAGTTGACTTCAGTTGAGACAGCTGCCCAAATCACAATTTCTCATCTCTAGGAATCATTCCAATAACTAGGGTATGTCCCTAATCATGGCAGATTGGCCCAAAACACATTCTCTAAGAATCTAAAGTAAGATAAAGTCTGGAAGGCACTGATTCCAAATTATGTTAAGAGTAAGGCTTGCAACAGAGAAGGTCCACAGTCTTCCTAAAATTCTCATAGCTGCCCTGATTACGTCCGAATCCTTTTTACTACACCCAATTATCTCCCAAATTCTTTCTTTGCCTACGTTATCAATAATTTTTGTATATTTGCAACCAAAATTACTTATAAAAACAGTAAATGTGCTAAATTTATAACAAATTGTATTGGAAAAGCAAATTGTGAAATATCAAAGCTTTTTTCCATTATTCCAACTTACGACACTCTAGATTAGTATATTGTAAATATAACCACTGAATTTTAAGAGTACACTACACATCATAATTTCTGACCTTATACTGCCAACTCTTTCTCGTATTTCAGAAAAGTCTATAAAACCTAGCAAAAAGCCACCAATTTGCCTTTATTTAATCAATAGGCAGTTAATGCCTATTATGTCCAATATCATGCACACCTGCAACAGCAATTAATAACAAAAACAGGTTCCTGAGTTAAGGACCTTTAAATACCTTGCTGGGTAGAGAAAGAAAAATAAGAAAAATATCAGCTAATAAAAGCTATTTCAGAGAAAGAAACTGAATGTGAAACAATGAGCAACCAGATTGCTTCTAGATCGGATGCTCAGGAGAGGCCTCTCTGAAGTGACATTTAAGCTAAAACCTTAACGACAAGAAGAAGCCGGCCAGTAGCCATCAGTGTACAGCTCACAGAAAGGTGTCAGGCTGGGAACAGGCTCAACTTGTTCGAAGAGTCAAGGTAACTACAGAGTGTATTGAAAAAGAGGGAGTCATTTACAGTAAGGCCAAAAAGATAGAAAGGACCATACCAAGTAGGGCTTTGTAACAAAAGGCAAAGAGTTTGGAGCTATTTATAAATGAACTGTACAGAACAAGGAGGCTATCTGCAACAAAATGCTTATAGAGAATAGTTGAGCAAGGGATTAAAAAGAACAAAAAATAAGTTGCAAACAGTTGTTATCATAGAAATTTTAGAGCCGAACAGACTCTTAGCTGTCATATGGTCCAAACTCACATTTTACTGAAAAGACAATGTGGCCCAGGCTGTGGCTTCTTTGAGGTCAGGTCACAGATGAGCTGTGAGTTGTACTTAGTGCTCTCAAACATTCAGGCCAAAGCTCTTTACATAACTCTTGCCTTGATTTGAAATCTAAAACTAAGTCTTTACCATGTGCATTTCCAAAAGTGACCTAGCAGCATTCAGATGAAAACATACTTAGAATTTTTTAAAGTTATCCATGCCAAATTAGTCACATCTCTAGTCCTCTCATGAAATTATTTCAAAATGGCTGACAATGCTAAAGTGTTTACCATCAAATATACTGCATTCCAAAGTATGTACACAGAAAAAATATTGAATAAAACAAAACATACTTACATCTGGGTATTCTTTTACAGGCACATAAAGTTTCTCTTGTAACTGAACAATAGGTCCCACAGCATCAGGCAATTCCGCACTCCTCTTCTCTGCACTGCCATTTAATGTGTCATTGTACATGTCTTTCCGTACTCTGCTAATTTCTGTTAAAAGTAAAAATTTTAAATGAGTTAGACGAAAATATTCTTGCTAGTCCAGGAAAGAAAAGGGGGCAGGGGGATTTCACTGGTAAAATGTTAAAATTCAAAGAAGTAAAGAACTGTTGACCTATTCTACCATTCTCTAGATCAGGGGTGGGCAACCCCTGGCACGCGTGCCAAACATGGCACGCCAGTAACTTCTGCTGGCACGCGAAACCCTCTCTTATAATCTTCCATTTACAATTTTTTTCTAATATCGA